TTTTCTCCCTTCCCCCCTCTCTCCATTGCATGGACAGACACCACAGCACACCCGAAGGCCCCCAAATAGTGAGCCACATTTTTGAAAAAAAAACTTCATTTTTCTTTCCCAAGTCTCAGAAAAATATGCCACGGTCTTCAGACTCTTCACCCGAATAGAATGCCTGGGTATTAAAGCTGTATTTACTATTTCGTGCGATTTTCAGACTAGATCCAGCGACAATGACTTTTCTTTCTATTCGGGTGAAGAAGGCAGTACCTACTACCTAGTACTTAACCTCTCTTTTTTGTTTTTGCCCCCAACTGTCACAACCATTCGCAACTTGAGACGACATGCTCCTTACCCCAAAACGACTCAGAAAGCTTGCTACAAGTGTGCTCCCCAACTGTCACAGACTGAGGCATTCATCTTCCCTTTCAAAAAAAAGCGGGGGAAAAAAAAAGAAGATGATCGCAGCTGTATTCAGCACAATTTTATGCCCAGATGCAGCTATTTTATGTTCCAGTGACCCCTGGAAGATGGTTCCCGCAATGCAGAATCCCTTCCGCAGGGAGATCATGGGTACCTAGTTACTATCAAGTCATTCCACATGTCCTGAGGAGGCAGCAGCAGCAGCAGCAGAATGAGCAGGAGGGGGGAGAGGGGGAGCAGGAGGAGGAGGAGGAGGAGGGAGGAGGAGGAGGAGGAGGAGGAGGGGGAAACATGCATCCGTATACTGGATGTATAGTGTGGCTGCATTATGGAAAAGCCCTAAGGCCTTGGCAAGTGACTGATGTGAAGACTCTGAACCGAACTGATGGTCTCCAGAATAGAAAGGAGCCAGGACTATAAGGTCATGTTTTTTTCTGTTGTTTTTTTTTTACACCAGAACCTCCGAGTCTCTTTTTGCTGAGGCGGAAAAGAACTGCGCGCCAAGCTTTGCCGAAGCGCCAGTGGGACTTTTTTTCTTTGTTTTGGCTAGTGCTGCCAGCCATCTTGGTACCGTGGCGCCCACACTCTTCGAAGCATGCAGTATATGTTATACCACATTTTAGGAGGCTTCGACTTTGCCTGTAAAAGGTAGTGCTGGTTTAAGAGGGACATTACCTCTATCTTCTGCAGCATAGGTGGAGTCAATCTCCCTTAACATTTTTGCGATTTCTTCAGTTTCTTCATCTCCAGGCGCCTGAAATCCATATCCCTTTTGTCCCTGCATACAGTACAGTCCACATTCCATTTGCTCCTAGCATTAGGGGAAAAAAAGAAAAAAAAGAAAAGGAATCACTAAGGTTATTAACTTATATTATATAGTGAAAAGGCAGGCCACACTGCATGCTATAGCATTTGAATGCCTGGGCTATATAGTTTCGTTGTGAACGATGAGCGAGAGAAGCAGATTACTATCCGAGTTTTGGGACTACCAAGAAGGGGTTAAGACCACTATCTTGGGTCATAGCGGAAGGGCCCCTTAAAAACCACCAGGTCCACCGAGGCTCTTTTCCCTACACGGATTTTATTATTATTTTTTTTTGAAAAGAAATGACCATTCTTTGTGCTGCACACCAAAACAAAAACGAATTGGTGCAGCGCAATTTGTTTTGCTTTCGGCTGGGTCGAGACCCCTATCTTGGGTCATAGCGGAAGGGCCCCTTAAAAACCACCAGTACCACCGAGGCTCTTTTCCCGACACGGATTATTATTATTTTTTTTTTTTTTGAAAAGAAATGACCATTCTTTGTGCTGCACACCAAAACAAAAACGAATCGGTGCAGCGCAATTTGTTTTGCTTTAGGCTGGGTCGAGACCCCTATCTTGGGTCATAGCGGAAGGGCCCCTTAAAAACCACCAGTACCACCGAGGTTCTTTTCCCGACACGGATTTTTTTTTTACTATTATTTTTTTGACAAGAAATGACCATTCTTTGTGCTGCACACCAAAACAAAAACGAATCGGTGCAGCGCAATGTATTTTGCTTTTGGCTGGTGCCGCCAGCCAAGTAGGTCTGGCAGGCTGAGCCCCCGAAAATCGCTGTTGTATACAAACGAGTCGGAAGACAATGGCAGCGGAGAGGTGCTGGTGGTTTAAAAAATCACCTGAAAATTTTATGCCAGGGAATTAAACCGGCCTAAGGCAAATGTACCTCTTATAAGTCATAAGTTATATAATCCACCCATGGAGCATGCTCAACAACTGTTCGTAAATGTCCGGCAAGTCCAATCCAAGAATTGAACACACAAACTAGGGCTTGCCAGGCCAACACCTACCTTCTTCCCACGAATACAACGTACGGTCATTATAGCTGTATCTAGACTGAAAGATGTGCAGTAACCCTGTTCAGAAGCAGCCTGGGGTCCAGAACTCAGCCCCAGGTCTCAGGTCTGCGCTGGGCTGTGTGACCAAGACACGCCCAGGCATGAGTCTGTCGTGTGTGGCTGTGTGACCGAACGCTGCACGCAGGAAATTCAAGAGTCAAAGTCAACTGTAGAGTCAAAGGTACCGCACCCAGGCCCTGGGTTGGATACACTCACTTGTTGTGAGCAGGTACCCAGACAGCATCCAGGCCGGAGGGATTTGGTTTCAGGTCGATCTGAGCCCTCATTCGCATTGAGATCTGTGCGGCCGAGGAATACAGCATCCGGGGTCCAGACCCCGCGTCAACACTACATAAGAGTTGACTTCCTGGCTTTGACATTCATTCATTCTGTCTTGCGCTGACGCTGACTCTACGCGTTGACGACGTGACGCCGGCTTGACGCTGCGACGCTGGTGGACGCTGGCATAGTGCTGGCATTGGTGAGACTGTGGCGACACGCTGCTGGCTGGGATGGTGACTGGCTGGCTACTGTCTATGAGGCATGTTGACATGGCAGCTGCCACGTGATGCTGCTGACGTGGCTGCTGCCACGTGTCATGTAGCCGGGTCTTTGTGACCGGCTCTGCTGTTCTTCACTTTGGCACTTCAGAAAGAGATCAGGACTGTTCATCGTCACTTCAGGAGGAGATCAGGACTGTGTGGAGGTTGTGGATACGTACCTGTAATCTTCATGTTGACATTGCTCTAGCGCTGATTGGGGACTAATTAGGTGCCACGTGGCACATTGTAGAAGGACTTCGACTATGTGTTCAGATTACTGGTTCTGTGAGGTGGCGATTGTGTAGGGAGCCCGGAGAAGGAGTGGGCCTTGCATCTTCCTCTCCTTTGTCTCATCTCCCTCCTCCCTCTTCGTCTGTGTATGGTTATCTCACCTCCTTCTTTCTGGACACTATTCGATTATTGGAAATTATCAGCGACTTCAGATTCTGGACTGCATTGTTGACAAACGTATTCATGATCTGGGTTCATTGCAGATGCCTCAAATAAAGCTATAATGACCTACGCTGTATTCGGGGGAAGAAGGTAACCAATAGGCTAAGTGAAGCAGAAAGAAGGTGAAGCCCAAAGATCGCAAAGTGAAGCAGAATGAAGGTGAAGCCCGAAAACGGCAACAACCGGCCTACTGTCTTCACCTGAATAGAACGCCCGGCGGTACTTATGGCCGCATCTGAACTGGAAGTTGCATCAAATACAGCTATAATGACCGGGGGCGTTCTTTTCAGGTGAAGACGGTAGCAGGTTCTCACCTAGCAGGTTCAAACCATCGCGCCGGTAATTATGGCGGTATATGGACCAGAAGTTGCACACAAATACAGACAGACAAAATAACCGGGTGTTTTATTCAGGTGAAGACGGTAGCAGGTTCGCCTAGCAGGACTTCCATTTTCCAAAGCTACCGGTAGTCACTGCAATAGGCCTGGATTTCTCCTGTTCGATTGCCAGGAAAAAAACTGGCATGGGCCTAGCTCAGTTGGTACAACCCCCCTGGACTGTTTTTGAAATACAGACTCAAGTTTGAATCCAGATGACCTCCAAGGATGTAATTATGCGACGCTGGACCCGGTTTCCAGCAGGTGAGACTTCCCACCAATAGATGGAGCACTGTTAATTAAAATAAAAATAAAAAAACGATGACTGAAATCAAACAATTCTGAATTACCTGGGTCAATTCGACAAAGATATTCAAGGCCGTCACCGTTTTGGAAAACAACAACAACAACAACAACAACAACAACAACAAACAAACAAACAAACAAACTTAAAAAAGATAATTGAAATCAAATAATTCTGAACTACCTGGGTCAATTCTACAATGATATTCAAGGCCGTCACCATTTTGGGGGGGGGGGGGGGGGAACTGGTACCGTACCAGGACTTGTTAGGCTGGGTGGTCGACAGAGCGTGTGTTGCAGTGCTGGTGTAAGGAGTGGCATGGAGTAGACAGGACATTGTCATAGCCTGCTAAGTGAACCTCAATGATGCACCTAGGCAGTTTTATGGCCAGATTCGTGCACCGAGCACAGACATGAAACACCAGTAGAACTTGCACCTAAATGATCTACAACAAGGAAGCCTACTATGACTGTTGAAGACCCCCTTCGGCAGTCCTTGCCACAGAGTCCTTAAACATGTTGTAGCAGCCTTGGCTTAGGTGCTCATGGGTCAAGGATTTGATGGGCCTTCCTCAGCGCCTCCTCCACAGCCTCCTCCTTTCCCCATGCCCTACCCCTCAACCAAATGAAAGAGAGAACGAAAAAAAAACAGAGGAGAAACAACTTCATGCGGGCTGTGAAGAAGGCTTGCAAACAGTCTTGGCCGGCCATAGGACCATTCCCGCTGTTAGAATTACGTTCTGAATTTGAAAAAATCAAAGTGGGGGTGGAAAGTGTGGGGAGGATTGGTTTCCCTCACCTCGTAATCTAGGGCTAGCAGGTTGAAGGGCCACCTCCAAGGAGCACAAGAGAGAGAGAGAGAGAGAGAGAGAGAGAGAGAGAGAGAGAGAGAGAGAGAGAGAGAGAGAGAGAGAGAGAGAGACTACGAGAACAAAGCAAGGGAAGTTGTGACAGACTGTTTCAGCAAACTCTCACCCCTGCTTGTCGCGCAGAAAGGAAGGAAGGAGGAGGGAGGCAGAAGAAAAGGGGTTTTCTCACAGACCGTGTTGTCGAAAACTTACCAAGTCGTGCTATCTTTAAAGGGACTACACTCACGAAACCCTTGCCATGCATAGTAGTTGGGCAGGGTACTGGGGGGTTTAGCCTTACAGGAGGCTATTGTTCCTATCATATCCTCACTGCAGGGCAACTGAGGTGAAAATGGTGCAATCAGACTCGCTTCTTCTTCACTCCACATACATGCAAACAGATGGCAATCCACGCTGGCGCTGTGCGCCCACACAAAGCTCAGAGATACTCAAGTCGAAAACACAGTTTAGTTACAACTCGCTTCCGACTGGCTATGGCGCCTGAGCGCTCACACATCCTTTGTCCACACACCGTTTGCACACACTTGTCTCTGGATCACCCTGGATATCCCACGCTCACAACTCTGTACAAAGAACACACACACACACACACTGAACTCTACCTCTATGCTACAGCGGCTATGGCCGCTCTACTGTTACTGGCTATGGACGAACTATCTCGCTCTTCAGCCCGCTTCAAACTCGGGCTTCTGCAGACCACCTCGCACGAGACGCCTGGGCAGCGCTTCCGCATGGCCCACGTACGAATGAATGAATGGCTGGACTCTGCCTCTTGATTTATACTTCTGTAAGTCGCTGGTCTGCCCTTTTCCACCGGGCCCATGGTGCACACAGTCCCTCATGGTACTTGCTGACCGTACAAAGTGAGACTGGGACTGGGTACCGCTGACTAAGCGAAGTTGGACTCACCACTTGCCCACTTGCCTCTGATCTGGTGTGTATAACGTGAGAAGGAACTTGAAAGGACACTTCCGGACCTTCCGGAAGTCTATGGACTTGGCCTTTCAGGACTGTAGCAGCTACGACCTTGACCTTTCGGAGTTGCTACAACTACGGCCTCTACACAACTATTACCCCTAGCCGACAGATCTATAGATCAAACCCCTACTGCTACACAGACCTACGACAAGCAACAGTTGTCTACCAAAACACACATCACGGGTTCAAACACACACAGAGGTCGACTTGATACTGTACACGGGTAAGGTGAGGTCTAGGGATCGAGCCCTGATCTGCATCTGTTACTGCAAAGGTGAAAAACGTTTCACTCCCTCCGGCCTAAATTTGAGGTCCTCCGAGAATACTTCAGTCCAAGGCAGGATCTTTTCCTTTCCTAGCTCTCTCGTAGGCTCGG